GTGCATGCACTGTGAGGTCTGATTAGTCGCGGTTAGAGTAGATTTGAGGGCGCATATACGCGGTTTTCCGAGCGCTTAGAATATGTTAGCAGCACAATATACCTGGTTATGAACCCATCAGCTCGCAGTGAGATCACGCGATAAAATAAAAGAGATAGCGCAAATAGTAGCATTTTGCATCGCTATCGTAAGAATGTCTATATGGGGGTCATGATGGAGTGTAAGCACCAACCCCGCGGGTCGTCAGCAGATCGTGAGGGGGGGGAGCAATACTAGGGATGGATGTAAGATACCACAGAAGATCAGGAGAGCAAGGACAATGTGAGTGATGATGGGCGTGAGCGGGCGGATATGGTAGGAATGACGAGGCAGAGGCGGTTGAGTGCGGGCTATAGAACAGAAGGGGAGAAGAAAGCGGCGGTTGAGCGCGAAGACGGGCAAAACGTCAAGTCGCCGAGAGAGAAAACATATAAAGTGTTACTGGGACGATACACATCAGACTGTGAATGGTAGGCAAGAAAGAATGGACGTACTAGGGCTCCGTAACTGATCTACGTGCCTGTACTGGAGGCACGGGCGCGCTGTGCGAAGTACGCAAGAGTGTCCTCCTTGCTCTCTTGCATGGCTTCGGTGGTGCCGTATTCAGGCGCCACCACCGGAGGCAGCCAAGTCCTTGAAAGACTTCGGTTCAGCGCCAACACAGCACAAAAAGATGTCTACTATGAACAACTCACGACGCCTCCTGGAATATTCTGATGAAAATACCCTCCTGAGAGCCGGGTTTCAACTCGGAGATCTTGTTGTCATGAGACTTGTATATCGGGCCAAGTTCATCCTCGTTGATGGCGCCGGGGGAATATTTTCCGTTTACGTAGCTACGGATAGCGACTTTGAGCTAACAGCACACGGTTTAGTGTATAATGTAGAGGTAGAGGGAGAAGAACACGTACCATCGTAGCTGCGAAGGCTACCATCGACCGAGGTACCAACTTCTGGGGGTGTTTGGGGTCCTCGGGCGTGTCTTCCACCGGGAATTGCGGGGGCTGGAATTTGAGGGAGCCCTTCTCCTTCACAAGGCCCATTAAACCGCGGGCAACGTATTCGGAGATGTACGGGCTGCTATATGGGAACTTCTGACACAAGGGGGAGATCAGGAATTCCACCTTCACGTCTTCATCGTGATTGCCCTTGCGCTGCAAAAGTAAGTTAGATGATGACAAGGGTGAATCGCAACATCATGCACCACCAGTTTGCCCGTGTGGACGAACACCTGTTTCTCCAATAGTGCCAGCACGGCATTCTGCAGGCGGATTGTATTGTTCTTGGTAGGCTTGTCCTTCAGAAACAACTTCTTGAGCTTGAAGGCGTCATACTTGTCGACGATGTCACACCCAATCATAACCAGACTGTGCCGCTGTGAAGAGCGACGTTCCCAGACCTACAACCCGATGATCGTCAGTAAGTTGTTGAAATGAGTCAAGACATTGACTTACCGCAACACAGAGAAGCTTGAGGTACGCGGGCTGTGCATCACAGCACTCCAGGATAGGGTTGTACTTGACGTCCGACTTAAGAACAGACTTAAGCACGGTTCTGGCTGTGATCAGGCCGCCCGAAAGCTCGTGAGTGTTGACCCTCTCGACGCCTTCGGCGTCACTTTTGTCGAAGTCATCAGCGAGGTCGGCCTTGACTTTCAAGGGTATCACGATGCCTGTCTTCGAAAGGAACAGATGGCGTCGGAGCCCCTTCATCGCCGCGCTGAGAGCTTCATTCAGGATCTTGGGCTGCTGACCAAGGTTGCCGACGCCGCCATGCTCGTTGAAGGTCACCTGCGTGTCTGGGTGATTGACCTTATTGTCGTTTTCCTGCACCTGTCGTTCATTGATACGACACTGACGCGCATCGGCCTGCGTAGAGGAGCCGCGCTGTAAAGATAAAATATGTGTTAATACATGAGACACACACAAAACAATAAGAGTACATACAACATATTCCTTCTTGATCCGGCCTGCGCTTTAGTGAGTAATGTGCAGTGAGAATAACATAGCAGAACGTACCTTAAGAGTGGCATGACTTTTGTCGTCGCTCTCCTCCTAGATTGGAAAGTAATGATAGATTAGTATGCTATATATAAGGGCGGGCGAGTGGGCGGGCGGGCGCGTATAGTGGGCCTGGAGATCTGAAGTCAGTGAATCTCCGGATGGTCAGATCCCCCCGGATCGAGAGACCTAGGCACGAGCATCAGTAAGCTGTAGGTCAATAAAGAAGGCGAGGGGACCCATCTCAAAAAAGAGCCTGCAGCACCGAGTGTCACGACTAGTGTGCACAATGATGCAGTAGTGGCCTCAGCACTCCCTTTGTTCACCTCCAATGCGCAGGGACAACCCGAGCGTCTTATATGGAGGCAAGCGGAAGAGGCATCAACGGTGGCAGGAGAGGATGGGGAGGGAATGGAGATGGGAGATGGGAGATGGTGGTGGTCGAGATGCTGAAGTCGAAGTCGCGCGCATCCGGTGATCGTTGATTGTAGGCGCGTGATGACGTGACCTCGCCGCCTTGGTGCCTCCCACGCGCCTTGTGTCTTTCTGCCACCAACCGCGATGTCCCCCGGACCCCGTCAACAGTCCCCTCCCTCCCTCTCCTCCCCCTCACGCAGCTCCGTAACGAGCGCATAAATCCCTTGGGTTGATCCCTGGGTAGCGTCTTGTTCTGAGAGGGGCTCTCGCGGGTCCCCTCCCTTAAGTGCGCACACGTGCCCGCCCAGTACGTATGTATCATAACTAGACAACATACCTCTTTAACGCTGCTATAGTCGCTGTCCCCTCCTTGCTCTCTGGCCTACAACGAGTCAGTAACCAAAAAAAACAAGCTAAGTTTATTCATACCTTTCGAGTTTCCACGGGCGTCGCTGACTTGGACCTCGACCTAGATCGGGACCTCTGGTTAGCCGTTGGCTGGAGGAGCTATCCGGCGTCCCCCATGTCGATGTCCTCGACCTCGGTCTTGACCTTCATGACTTCCTGCTGCTTGCCCTGTAAATAGTCAGCGCGAGGTAATTGCAACCGCAGGTGAACACTTACCTTAGCCTTCGCCGACTTGGTCGCTGACGCCTGCTTGAGGTCATCATCGCTATCTGAGATGACGATCACCTCTTGCGAGTTGTCGTCCTCGTCGTTGACAATGATCTACATAGGTATGTCAGTAAATGGTTGAACTTGAAGATTATCACACACTTACCTTCAGTGCAGGCTGGGCCTTCACCCTACCGGCAGGGCGCGACTGCGTTACAGGCGCCACACCCTTGCGCGAAGTCGCAACCTGCTTCACTGGTGGAACGGACCTCCTCACAGCCGGTGGCAGCTGTGACACCGTCTTCCTGGCAGGCGGCGGCACAGACTTCCTGGGCGGCGGCAGCTTATCATTGCCTTCGGTGTTGGATTCACCGTCCGTCGACGATGGGACAACCTCCGCGTCCAAGTTCTCGGGAACTCCACCTTTCAAGACGCGGCGGCTTGGGGCCTTGACGCCGGGTCTGATAACGTCGGCCGTCTTGATCACCTTGGGCATCTGGTAGCTCTGGTAAGTAGCTGTCGATGCAATATATATACAAAAAACTTACCACAGCCTGCACCTTGACCAACAGCTTAGCGTTCTCCTTCTTCGCCTTGCATGCGGCTGCCAAGGCAGCTGGGTCAAACTCGTTGTCCTCCTCTGGCTGCTCATCGGGGTCGGTGTCGCTGTCGACGTCAGCCTCGGCCTCCTCCTCATGATCGATGGGAGGTGCACGGCGGTCCTTGGGCACGCCCTTTGCACGGCCACTTGATGAAGTCCCGGCCAACTGGTCCGCATCGGTCTTGCGCGTCTTCGACACCACAGCATCCTCCAGCTGTTCGTCAGCAGATCTCTTTGATGAGCGTGCGGGCGGGGCCTCTTTCTTGACCGGAGGAGTGGGCTGTGTGTGCCCATCTTTTATTTTGTCTGCAGCTATAGCTACAAGTGAAGTGTGTTTTTAGCTGATGGAAAGTATGATTGTATTTAGCTGCACTTGTAAAGTACTTTAATGCAGCTAAAATGTGCATGACCAGGGCAGGATTTGAACCTGGGTCAGCATACTTTTAGCTGTAAACATGTAAACATACTTTGCTGTGAGAGCATGATTTAACCACTGAGCCAATGAGCCATGATATAAACCAAACTTAATTGTTATATATAATCATTTTGCAATGTGTTTTCCCGAGCAATAACGACAACGTGTGGGCTCGTAATGAGTAGGTCTCATTCACTCAGTAGGGCCCTGATACTATGGAGTACCTGAAGCAAGAACGAATCCGCTGGGCTTTTTTTGTAATATTTTCTCAGGTCTCATGGGGCAGCAAACCCTAACCTAACCATAACCTAACCCTAACCACTAACCCTAACCCCCTAACCTTAACTAGCGCGAAACAGCCTGTAACGTGTTTACAAACGTGACTACTAATAACAATTAACATGTTTTATTTACATGGTCTATTAGCTCAGTGGTTATATTGCTACATTGATAAAATTATGATTGCAGCTATTTCTACGATGCTCTTGGTTCAATTCCTGCCCATGCCATCTTTTTAAACACTAGATAATCATAGCTAAATACACTCATCCAGCTAATTACAAACATACTTTTCATCAGCTAAAAACATACTTTACAAATGGCTATAGCTGCACTTTGTAATTACAAGATGGGCACCCATCTACCCATATTCTGTCTCCCACTCGATCAAGCGCCTCAGACCGCGATCCGACACCACCTTCTTCACCGTCACAGCCTGCTTCTCCTGTGCTCCCTTCCTCACCGCCACTCCTGTCATCACTGCCACCCCCTTCGGACCGTGAATCCCCGCCACCGCCTAGGTCTTTCCCCTTACCTCCGCCATCGCCACCTCTGTCGGATTGTGGGTCTCAGCCACCCGAACCGACACCGCCACCACCAGAACGTACGCCGACTCCCGCTCCTGAGGTCAAGCGCAGAATCGAGCACTTTGGCAATCAAGCGGGCGAAGTTCTGAATCCGGATGACGACCCTGGCAATCCTTACAGTCAATACAAGGCGGGGATAGACGGTGACATCAATCCCGACAACCCGTACTTGCCCTTCCACACCAAAATGGATTGGGATATTGTGTCCTGGTCGAAGTCGTTCTCGATCGGCTCCAATGCCTTAACGGCACTACTACAGATTGAAGACGTACGTGATCTTCCTCAATTGCGTATTCAATCGTGCTCACGTCTCCATAGGTCAAAGACCGACTTGGCTTACAGTTTTCAAGCACTCGGGCGCTCAACGCGATCATGGACAACAAACTGCCATCAAGGCCCAACTTCAAACGCCGGACGTACGCGCTTGGGGGAGAACAGCTGGACATATACATGCGCGACAGCCTCGAGGTACTGTGTGAGCTCTATGGGCGGCCAGACTTCGCTAGTCACCTCATTTTTGTGCTGGAGAAGCATTTCGTGCTCATGGGAGACGAGGAGGACAGGGCATACTTGGATATGCATACAGGTACATGGTGGTGGTATATACAGGTGCGTATTCAGTATTATAGACATCATCTACCTACTAACATACCGTATAGACGAGGATAGAGTTGAAGTGCCCAGGCGCAACCATCATCCCCCTCATCATCTCATCCGACAAAACGCAACTCACCCTTTTCCGCAACCGCTCCGCTTACCCCGTTTATTTCACCATCAGCAACATCCCGAAGGAGCTGCACCGGAAACCCTCCTTGCAAGGCATGGTCCTCCTCGGCTATCTCCCCGTCACCAGCCTTACCAG